CCCCAAAACCCCAAAACCCCAAAACCCCTGCAGTTTCCTTCTAAATTTAATAATAAAAATATAAAAATGCAACAGAAATCATCTAAACCACCATCATCTAAAGCTAACTCACGTTCCTCCTCTCCTACCTCAGACCCCGCAGCAATCTTCAATATCCTCAAAAAGATCAAATTTTTCGAAGAAAACAACATTTTAGGTAAAGTACCCCCTTCAAAATCTAATTCTAATTTCTTAAAACACCTCTGAAAGCCCATAAAGTCACTCCTAACTCAATTTTGACACATTCTCTAGATGATTCCATTCCAAATGTTCAGGAAGACTTAATCTCTAACCTGAAATTTAAGAAAATGAAAGATCAGGAATTCGTCTTCCACTTCGGTGACTTTGGAGACGAGTTTTACATCATACTTGAAGGATCAGTTAAGATTTTAAGACCTATCAAGAAAAAGAACAATGGTGACTCTGATACGAAAAGAGACTCTATTTTTAACCAAACCGAGGTCAGGAAACGAAGAAAGACTTCACTCGGTAAGAATTTTTCTTTATCTACTGTTTTATTTGTTTCTTTTAGACAATGATCATGAAGATTTTGAGTACCAAGAATTAATAACTCTCGGTAAAGGTTCCTCTTTCGGTGAGCTCTCCCTCATTGAGAATAAACCTCGTGCTGCTACTATTCGTTGAGCAGAAGACACCACATTTGCTGTCCTGAACAAATTCGGATATGACAAAGTCATAGGAAAAATTCTTAAGAAAAAGCTTAATAAATAAAATTAAATTCTTGAAGAGCATCCCATATTTCACAAAATGGACTAACATGGCTCTCAGCAAGTTTGGCTACGACCACTTCATCACAAACCACAAGCGTAACCAATGAATTTTCAAGGAAGGCCAGAAGAGCAAATATGTCTACATCGTCATCAATGGAGAATTCGAACTGACCAAGAGTAACCTTCTTCATAATTCCTAGAAATTTATCAAAAACAGAATGAGAATAAGATGGTCAGGGATCTCTTCGACTCTCACCTCGAGTCTAAAAGCAGCTATGTCAGCCTCACCAAGACAGGAAATCCGAGCCCGATCGAGAAGAACACACTTAAGAAAATAATGCTCAACTTTAAAGTCAAGAATAATAAATCAATGAAACCAAGCAAATGCAGGGTCTCCCTTCTGGGAGCCCTACAGATCTTTGGTCATGAAGACTCCTTTAGGAAGCGGGATTATACAACCAGTAAGTCGAATTAGTCATAAATAGCTTGCACATGCACGGTGGATGGGTCTTTATTTGTCATCCCAGCTTCTCATTTCGAACGTGATCTGAAGCAATTCTCCGAAGACACTTTTAAAGAAATGATCAAGAATTGAATGCAGAAGGAAATGAAGCTAAACAAATTTATTTCTGTTAGTTGTTGCTACTAACCACTTAGAATAAGCAATCGATCCAGTACAGTCTTACCAACCCAAAGATGAAGGAGAAAATCACTAATGTGAGACAAAATATTTTCTCAGAGATTCCGTAATTACTGAAATAACTCTTAGAATACTACCTTCGATTCGGACAAATTCTAAAGCAAACTCTATTGAAGAGGAAGAAGATGATTACAAGAATGGCACAAGAGGCAGCGTTGACATTACAAACATCAATAGAGTAAAATTTGTTAACAAGAGCCAAAAAGTATCAAAACCAATATCACATAAGAACTCTACTAGAAGGCGATTTACTAGTAAATCTCATGTTTAAAATATAGGTAAAAGAAGCTCTCATTGAAAACAATTCTCAGAAGTGCCAAGTCTCAACTTTGAGAGAAGCCTAATCCTCAAAGACTCTCACCTTCAGCCAAACAACTCTGTAATGTTCACTAACAAGTAAGTAGGGACTCTAAAAATGGGTCTTAAGTACTATAGGCATCCCTCTATCGTCAATTCCCAAAGATCACCTTCAAATTGCTCTAAAATAAAGGGAGGCAATTTCTCAATACTCCAAGCCTATTCGAATAAATTCTCTCCTGAAGAGGAGAACCATGAAATGAGCTTGGTATCTCAAAGATTGAAAGGGATACCCTCAAATATTCGTACTGAAAATATGAGGAATAAGTACATGAATGCTCATAAGCTTTCCATGTCTTTAGACACAAAGGAGTCCTGAATAGACAAACTCCCTTATCCAATAAGGCTCCCAAGAAAGTCTAATTTTCAATAAACAATTGTTAAAAAGGGGTTTTGGGGTTTTGGGGTTTTGGGGGTTTGGGG